CCTCACTGGCACAATCCTTCCTTTGCGTTTATATCCCTGTGACAGGCCGAATAGGAAGAATTTTTTTAAGTCAGAATTCCTGAGATGCAGTGTCAAATGGTTTAACAGCATCTAGAAATCTCTCTCGTGTCCCTGTCATCTATTAACTTGGTAACTCAATCAAAGGGAGCAATCACATTTGTCTGGCTTGATTAAGTGGTGCTTCTTTGCCAGCTTTTGTCTGGCATCAGTATAAAATCACAGCTGTGTTGACTGATGTGATCCCTGCCTACTGCCTGGGCGGGGATGGGAGTGCTGGATTCCAGCCTCTCCCTGCTCCACTCCAGGGGCTCTACACGTGAACCCCATTTCCAAGCAAGCCCAGCACAACCCATCCCTGTTCACCTAGGGCTGGATAAAAGGGAATCCCAATACAGGGTCAGACTGACTCTCCCAGCTATATGATGCGTGTCCTGGGAGTCCTTTCCTTCCCAGATGTCCATTCGGAGCCAGCAGAACTCCCCAGCTGCTGCAGGCATTTCTGCAGGACTCCCTCCCTTTGAAGCTCAGCTTTCCTTTATCAGCTGGGCTCAGAGAAGGCCCCTGCATGCAGCCTGAAGTAGCCTTTCCTCCAGGAGCAGGTATCACTTACACCCTAGCAGGGGCCCATGTGAAAAATGATGCCCCAGCATGAGCAGGGCCCATTCTGGTTAAGGAAACACTCAGCAGTGGAGGCAACTCCTCCATGAACCCTCCACACCTTCTAAGAAAATACTGGAGCCCTCCCCTGGGAGCAGGTTCTGCACTGTCCTCTGAGCCAACAGATTCCCAAGTTGATAAATCCCCAACCCTGGGATGAGTGGGATCCCCCTGGAGCTGGGCTGAACCATGGGAGATGTCACCTGGACACCCCAAAGCATTGAGCACTTCCTGCTCCCTGCCTGACCCTGACACTTGGCCCTTACTTCCTCTCTTGGCTCAGCGTGGCCAAGCAGTGGGAACACTGGGGAAGGCTGTTTGTGGGAAGCTGTGCAAGGTTCTGGGCTCGCTGGCCTGCCACAGAGGGGAGGTGTTGGCTCCATCTCTCCACAAGCTCCAGGAGATGGTCAGGACTTCAGTGTGCATTACTTAGGGCTTGAGTATGAAGTGAATCTAAGACTCAGGCGATTTGGTGTGAAATCATGCTGTTCCCCAGCAGTTCATGGAAGGGACAAGGCAGGATTGCAAGGGCGAGCCCTGATAATGCCCATTTAACTCCCTCAGATGTGGGGGGCTGCCCCATGGCCTCCACCTCCTACGCTGCTGCCAGCTGAGGCAAGCAGGGTGCTAGGTAGCAGGCAGCTATCTGGGCAGCCATCTGCAAAAGGATTCCCTGTAGTTTGCTCCTCTCTGGTCACTGTGATGCGTTTAAGTCTCAATGAGATTTCCTTGCTCTGAATGATTAATCTGAAGGGGCTGCACTGGATGAGCTGGGAAGGGTTTGACAAGATTACAGTGCTGGCTCTGTGCCCACTTCTCCTTTGGGTCAGCCCCTAGCAGATGGCCCCGTTCAGCCCTGCTCCACTGCAGGGCTTGAGGACAGGCTCCAGCAAGTGAAGTCCCCAAATGCCTGTCCTTGGCCCCAGGGCAGGCCATTCCCAGTGTCCCAGCCAGCCATTAACTGTTCATTGTGGATAGACGTGATCAATACTTTATGCTTCTTAATCAGCACAGTCAGGGAGTGGGGAGGTGGCAACAGCGCATTCCTGAACAGGAGGGATTGATTTTCTGAGATCTTTATTCTCTTGTGTCTCTCTCTCCATCGTGCTCCCTTCCCTTCTCGCTGTGGGAGCACTGGGGAGTTGTTCCTTTGTGGGATGCTCAGTGTGATGTGGGAAACCCTTCTTGCCACAGGCTACTGTTGGTGCTTGGCCAAGTTCACAGTTTAACAATCCTTAGGGTTGGAAGGGACCTCTGGAGATCATCTAGTCCAGCCCCCCACCAAGGCAGGGCCACCCAGAGCAGGTTGCACAGGAATGCTCATGAAGTTGCTTCATTAAGGGATGATGGGCGTTCTCCAGATGGAGAAGAGAGACAGGGGCAGGCTTTAGGTGAGGTTGGAATGCAAACCCAAGGGCACAGTCATCCATGCTCCTTCCATTCCCAGACAGTGGCGAAAGAAAGTGGGGCCTGATCACGCTAGAATAATTGAGGATGTTTTGGGAGGCCCACTTAGGTGGGTTTCGGTTCCCTGACTGGTTTTGAAGCCTGGGTGTTGGCCTTGAAGATGCTGTGTCCAACCCCAGGAGCACCCTGAACCTCAGCAGAGCTATCTGAAACTGTCCTGCCCCGGTCCCCCCCTCTCCTGCCCCGATCCCCCCCGGTCCCCAGTTCCCGATGGAGTCAGCAAAAGCCGGCACAGCTCTAAGCAAATCCTGGTGTGATGCCAAAACCACCTCTTCTCTCTCTTTCTCTGTCCTTTGCTGAAGGTGATCACCATTTTCACGCTGGTGGAGGTGGTGCTGAGGTCAGATGGCGTCCCTCTCAAGTACAGCGCCCTGCTCAAGAGACGGAGCTCGGAGAAGTGAGCGCCCTGGGCTGTATGTGCTTCCCACTGCCAACGCTTCCTCACCTCCTAGGCCCTGCACTGGCACCCGCTGGGACACAGGGGATCCACGAGGAGAACCCCACTGAGGGGTTCTCAGTTCAAAAACCGATGCCATTTGATTTCTGGTTTGTATTTTAACTGGCCGGGAGCAGGGCTCAGGGCTTGAGCCTGCCACGGGTGAGGGCGTTTCAGCTCTCGGGTGTTTTAGCTTGATGCTTGATTTTGGTTTTTAAGGCAGCGGTGTCCGTTCCCAGCTATGTTGGGTGCCCGTGGTGAGGGCCAGGTGGGGACGTGTGTCCCCAGGAGAGGAGAGGGGCTGGCTCCACCTCCGACCAGGTGGGATGCAGTGTGAAGCAGCCATGGGGCCATGCAGGAGGGTTTCTCACAGGGTTGTGTATTGTGAAATAAAAGCTGAGTCAGAAGCTGCATGGGGAGCTTGCGCAGGTTTTATTTTGTCTCCTCCATGTTCCCCCAGCCGTGAATCCCAGCAATAACTCATCTGCCAGGCAGCCTCATGCCTTCCCCTGCCTGCCAATTCCCTGGCTGAAATTCAAGTGGCCTGACACCTCACCCATCCCTGGATGTGCTTGGCTGGAGAGCATGGGGGCTCTGTTTGACGTGTGCTTCGAGCGCCTGGTCTGGCAGCTGATCCCTCATTCTGATCCTTCACCAGGAGTCACTGGGTGTCTGCTTGAGCCCCTCACACCCTGGCCTCCAGTCTAACCTCCCTCAGGACCCTGCAGCCCATGTTCTTGCTTCTTCTTGCTGCTCAAGAGAGCATCCAGCCCCTCATGGACCAACCAGCACCTCTGAAATCTCCAGGCATCTCTGCCTGTTCCCCATCCCCATGTCCCCCACCAACACTGTGCAAGATGTCTCCAGAGGCATGGGGCCTGATGCTCCACTTCATCACTTCATCACCCCTGCAGAGTTGGGCAGCCACAAGCAGCAGCTGGTGGAGGGATGATGTCTGGAGTGAAGGAGTGGATCCATCATGCCAGGCAGGGTGGGGGGCCTCTTTTACCTCATCAATGGCACAGTTACATCTGCCCTTTGCAGCAGCCAGGAGCTGGCCAAACCCGGGCTGCCCAGCTCAGTTTGGGGATCGGACCCTGGGATGGGTCAGGGCTGGGTACAACACGTTCTCCAGGAGCTGGCAAACAGTGAAACCATAAGGGTCACCTGCGGTCTCCAGGGCTTGTGCTGCTGGTGGCATCCTTCCAGATGGCCTGCTGCAACCACCCATGAATGTCACCTTCCGAGGTGGGAGCTGGGGAGAGCAGCCTGTTCCTCCTGCTCCTCACTGGGTGCTGGTGACATGTGGCTGTTCCCCGCCTGCAGCAGGTTACCTCACTGTGCAGATGTACCCCATTGTGACCCTTGTGGTCCCTCACTGGTCCCAGAGCCTGACAGGCAGTGTGGGACCGTGTCCCCTGGGAGGCAGGACCTGAGGACACTGACACCAAAGGCAAGATATCCCCCTCCTTGGAAACAAGGCCAATCCAGCCTGGCCCAGCTCAGCCTGTCTGCAAAAACAGCACTTTGCCCTGCACCCTCCCTGCCGCTCCCTGGGGTCCCGCAGGCAGCTGCCCCATGGGAGCTGGGGGCCACTGGGTGCTCTGGTCCCCAGGGAAGGGCTGGAGGTCCTCCCTCGCTGGTGGGGGGCAGGGATGGCCCCAGGGGGGCTGGGGGCATTGGGAGGGCCCTGGGCAGGGCTGACAGATAGTCCCTGAATGTTATCACCTCATTGTCTCACCTGTGGAGGGGCCCGCCTGTGGGACAGGAAAGGGTCATAAAGGGCTGTGTGCTGCACCCTGGATGCAGGCAGCATTCCAGGAGAGAGCTGGGGTGGGCAGCATGAGGCGGCTGCTCTTCCCCGGAACCTGCCTTCTTCTCTGCCTCCTGGCCCGGCTCGCTGCTGCAACTTCAGGTGACAGGGGACATGGGAAAAAGGGGTAGGAGCCCTTAGTGGGGGGGTGCTGGGGCTAGCGTCACTTCCCTGGGGACTCACCTCCCTATGGGGATACAAGCAACTGCAAACCCTCCTGGGTATCTCAGGGTGGTTTGAGACCCCAACCTTTGAATGGGCTTGTCTCAGTCCCCACCAAAGCAGGCCCTGTCCCTGTTCCCTCAGCCCCACTGCCCTCTTGCCCCTGAGAGGCTTGGGATCAAGTGTCTCAATAGCCGCAACTGGCTGCAGTTGCTCAGATGTTGCACATTCACTGCAGGGGGCTGATGCCTCAGTCAGAGCTTCTGCTGAAAGGCCCAGGGAACTTTCCTACCAAATTCTGCCTCAGTTTCCCCCTATGCAGATGGGCTCTGGGCAATGCTGAGCTTGCCAAAGACCAGACTGATCCCCAAAGGGCTCCTGGACCCTCTGAGGCCTCCATGGAGGCAAATGAATTCACCTTGGATAGAGATGCGCACACCGGGGGGGATGCCCCTGGTGACCCTCAGGCTGCCGAGTGCCTCCGCACATCCCCAGCTCTGCTCTTGCCTCCAGATGCCGAGAAGACCCCAGGCTACTGGAATGAAGGGGCCAGGAGGAGGCTGAGGTCGGCACTGGCACTGCAGCCAGTGGCACAGCGGGCCAGAAACATTATCCTCTTCATGGGCGACGGTGAGTCTCCAGGGTGCCAGCCAGGCAGGGGACATGGCTGATGAGAAGGCAGGGCTGGTGCAGGTTCTCTCCTCCCCAGCTGGTACAGGGCAATGCCGGAGGAGGCCAGGACTGTGCCAGGCCCCAGCCGCTTACCACCCCACACTGTGGCTCCTGCAGGCATGGGGCTGTCCACCATGTCGGCGGCTCGGATCTACAAGGGACAGCTGGCTGGTGGCTCAGGCGAGGAGAACATCTTGGCCATGGAGACCTTTCCCCACCTGGCCTTGGCCAAGGTGAGTGGGGCAGCACTGGGGGGCGGCCCTGGTGCCCCCTGTACAAAGCCCCACTGTCCCCTGCTTGCTTCCAGACCTACACCATCGACCGGCAGGTGCCCGATAGTGCTGGCACAGGCACAGCCTACCTCTGTGGGGTGAAGGCCAATGCCAAGATGCTGGGGCTGAGTGGGGCAGCTGTCTACGGCAAATGCCGCAGTACCTTTGGCAATGAGGTGAACTCAGTCCTGCACCGGGCCAGGCTGGAAGGTAGGAGCAGCAGACGACCCAACAATGAGAGCCTTGCTTGGCATGGCCATCCCAGGGCTGGACGGGCTCTTTTGTAAACGCTTGCCCATGCTGCAGGCAAGTCGGTGGGCATCGTGACGACCACGCGGGTGCAGCACGCTTCCCCAGGAGCAGCTTATGCCCACTCAGCCAGCCGGAGCTGGTACGCCGATGCCAACATGCCCAAGGAGGCATTGCGGGATGGCTGCAAGGACATCGCCTACCAGCTGGTGCACAACACAGACATCAGTGTGAGTTGGGGAGCAGGCATGGGAGGGAGGGGACATGGGGGACATTGAGAGGGTCTGCTGAGCTCCCCAGCAGGTGATCCTGGGCGGCGGGCGGATGTACATGACCCCCAAGTGGACTGCGGACCCCGAGTACCCAGAGGACCCGGCTCAGAATGGCACCAGGAGGGATGGCCTCGACTTGATTGCCAAGTAGCTGAATGCCAAGAAGGTACCACAGCCGTGTGGATGGAACACGGTGCCAGGCATGCTGCATGTGCCATTGGCACCGGCTCTGTTCTCACTGGCAGGGTGCCCGCTATGTCTGGGATAAGAAGGGCATGGATGCAGTCAAGGATGACTCCGTAAGCCACCTGATGGGTACGAGCATCACTGCCTGCACCACCAGCAATCTCTCCTCCTTGCTCTGGGGTTGCTGGCAGGAGCACGAAGCAGCCCCATCATGGATGTCCCCACACCCTGCTTCCCCAGGCCTCTTCGAGCCCAAGGACATGAAGTATGAGCTAAACCGCAACACCTCCACGGATCCTTCCATTGTGGAGATGACAGAGAAGGCCATTCGCATCCTGCGCAGGAACCCCAAAGGCTTTTTCCTCTTTGTGGAAGTTGAGTAGCCCCAGCTGGGCAGTGTGGCTGAGGCTGGGGTGGGATGCGGGTCTTTGGAGCACGGGGCATCCCAGGGGACCAGGATGAGGGTGATGGCCATGTTCCCTGTGCAGGTGGCAGGATTGACCACGGCCACCACAGCGGCCGGGCCAAGCAGGCACTGATGGAAGCTGTCATGCTGGACCGGGCAGTGGCACGGGCAGGAGAGCTTACCTCCCCCTCCGACACCTTGACTGTGGTGACAGCTGATCACTCCCATGTCTTCACCTTTGGGGGCAACACACTGCGTGGCACCTCCATCTTTGGTGGGTCTTGGGCAGAGGCGGTGAGCATCCCTGCTCCCATCTCCCCCTTTTACTCCCACCGAAGGCTGAGCCAGCTGAGATGGGGAGCCAGGGAGAGGCACCTGGCTGGGACAGGGAGTGACAGTGTCTTTCCCTGTGCCAGGGCTGGCCCCCAAGAAAGCCAAGGACAAGCAAGCCTACACCAGCATCCTCTATGGCAACGGTCCTGGCTACAGCATCCACAAAGGGGGCCGCCCATCCCCCAGCCTCCAGGCTGCAGGTAGGAATCTGCTGTGGACGGGATGGGATGGGGGCACAAGGTGGCTGATGGCAGCATCCCATAGGCATGGCCACTGGAGCTGCATGGGGTCCATGTGTACCGTGTTGTTCAGGAGTCACTTGGGCATGAATTGTCCCAGTGCTGGGGTAATTGAAGCTGTCGCCTATCCCTGAGACGGGTAGGAGACCCTGCTGCCCCCAGCCCCATTTCTCCTACAGAGGACAAGGACTACAGGCAGCAGGCAGCCGTGCCCCTGGAGGAGGAGACCCACAGTGGGGAGGATGTGGTGGTGCTGGCCAAGGGCCCCATGGCCCACCTCTTCCACGGGGTGCAGGAGCAGCACTACATAGCCCATGTCATGGCCTATGCCGCCTGCCTTGAGCCCTACGCCACTGAGCCTGGATGCAGCGCAGCCCGCAGGGCCTCCCATGGCACCATGTGTGCACCACAGCCCCTGCTCACCCTCCTGGCCCTCTGTGTGGCTGCCCACTTATTGGGGAGCTGAGTGAGACCCCCCCCCAGCCAAGCCCCACTTCAGCCCTGGCTGCCTGCCCCCTCCCCTCGCCACACCATCAAGGGTCTTGGCAGCTGGGTTGCCACTGGGGCCAGGATGAAGGAATGCAATAAAACACAGTTGTTTGACTCCATTTGCAGTGCAAGGATTTGCAGCAGTGGTCACCTCCTCAGGCATTGTGCCATACCTCTGTTTCCTCAGGTGGTGATGGCTCCTAGTTCTTCCCCTGGGACCAGCGCTGAAAGCACTGGGGTAAAGGGGGGATGAAATGAGGGTGAGAGGAGGCCATGTTCCCCCTCCAGTTTTATCAGTCTGGGGCACAGTACGCAAGTGTTGGTACCTTTCTACAAGGGTTGAACAAGGAGCAGGGTTTTAGTCCACATCCATGGATTTATTGCACAAGTAAGTTCTGGGCTTGGTACAGGAGTGACCCCAGGTGCTTCCAATACCCACGTTGCCCCAGGTCCAATGCTCAGCGCTACCTGTGATACCCTGTGCCAGGGCACCCACGTGCCTGGCACCACAGCACTGTAGACTGGGCAGGCAGTGATGCCTGCCAGGCACTGCCCATCCTCTTGCCCCTGCATCTGTTTGTGCCCCAAGTCCGTCCATACCCCAACAGCACCACAGAGGCGCCAGCAGCCCAGCCCATGGCCTTTGTGCCGCTATCAGAGACATGCTTAACACCTCCACACACCCTGCAAGGGCTGATACCGGTCCAAAGTCCCTCCCCAGATCTGCTAGAAATGCAGACGCTGCCAGCGGTGCCGGGCTACCGGATCTCACCATGCAGCTCCCGGCACTCCTCATCCTCTGCCTGGGCCTTCAGGCAGAGCTCAGCACTGCTGTCATCCCAGGTGGGGACAAGGATGGGGATGTGCACCTGGCTGGCTGTAGCAGGGCACTCAGCAGGGCACCAGCCTGGGTGGTCACAAGGGGGGTTTGGGGAGAGGAGCAGGCACTTCCCATCCCTGCAATGGTTAATGGGTTTACCCCTGCTTTTCTGGGGTTCTTGGACCAGCTTTCCCTGTGGGATCAGGTTTCGGCATGTTTCTGGGCTGGAAGGGTCTGGGGAAAGTGGCTGTAGCATCCCGCCTTTGCCATGGATTTGACCCCATCCCACCTGCCAGATAACTCCCCATTGTGTCCATTTTTACTGCCCTTCTCCTTCCCTGCCCCAGGATCTCTGGGCCAGGCAGTGGGTGCAAGCCCATGTGGTCTCCCCCCACCCCAAAGAGCACCCTGAGCTACACAGTCCATGCTAGAGGAGGCCTCAGCATGCGGATGCCCAGGCAACAAGTACCCAATGGATGTGGGTACCCGAGGGATGCAGGAGCCACAGGGATGGAGGTGCTGGTGAGCTGGGGCTGACAGGTACTGCCCTGTCCCAGTGGAGGAGGAGGATCCAGCCTTCTGGAACAGGCAGGCAGCCGCAGCCATTGAGGCATCCTTCAAGCTGCAGCCCAGGGTAACCGAAGCCAAAAACCTCATCATTTTCCTTGGAGATGGTGAGTCCCACTGGCACACCCAGCAGAGGGCTGGCACAGACAGTGCCCCATGGAGCGGGATGCGAGGAGGGCACCTGGTCCAGAGGGTGACTGGGACCCTCCCTTCTCTCCTAGGATTTGGGGTCTCCTCCATCACGGCCACCCGCATTCTAAACGGGCAGCAGCAGGGGAAGCTGGGCCCTGAGACCCCGCTCGCCCTGGATTCTTTCCCCTATGTGGCTCTCTCCAAGGTAAACTCCCACCACACTGGGCATGGGGCCAGGGTGATGTCAGTGGGGCTGCTGGCACAGGTGCACATATGGGGTGCACAGGGTCCCTGCCCATCCTGCACTTGTCCTTAGGTAAGCAAAGGAGTGTGGTGTGGGGTCTTGGGAGGGGGACAGCCCGCTGGGTGCTCCTGCCAGCTGTCCCCTGCTCTGAGCCTGGCATGTGTCCTTGGCAGACGTACAGTGTGGACCGGATTGTCCCTGACAGCGCAGCGACTTCCACAGCCTACCTCTGCGGGGTGAAGGCCAACTACCACACAGCAGGAGTGAGTGCAGCCGCCCGCCTCTCCCAGTGCAACACCACAGCAGGCAATGAGGTGGTCTCAGTGCTGGAGCGAGCCCGCAAAGCCGGTAAGAGGGGGTGCAGAGCTGGGAGGGACCCCACTGGGGACAAGGGGTGTCACACCAGGGGCTGCCGCGCCATGAGCATTCCAGGGCTTGGTGGTGGGAGGGTACCATGTCAACCTTCCCGGGGCCTGATGTGTGTGGGGGCCGCAGGGAAGGCGGTGGGCATTGTGACGACATCACGGGTGCAGCACGCATCGCCCTCGGGGGCCTATGCCCATGTGGTGGACCGCAACTGGTACGCGGATGCCAGCATGCCCAGGGAGGCCCGTCTGCAAGGCTGCAAGGACATCGCCTGGCAGCTGGTCCACAACGTCGACATCAACGTGAGTGCCTGTGCGTGGGAGGGAAGGAGCAGGGGTAGGTCTCCACCAGCACTCCCACTGACACTACATCCATTTCATCTCCTCCAGGTTATCATGGGGGGTGGTAGGATATACATGACCCCTGAAGGGACGCCGGACCCTGAATATCCTGCCTATGAAACAGAGAAGGGGATACGGGAGGACGGGAAAAACCTGATCAACATGTGGCTGGAGGCACGGCCGGTGGGTGAAGCAGCAGGGACAGTCCTCTGCCCATCATCCGAGGCATGGGGTCCAGCACCCGCTAACCCTCTGTGGGATTTGTCCACAGGGTGCCCGCTATGTCTGGAACAGGACAGAGATGCTGGCTGCAGCTGCTGACCCCAGCGTGACTTACTTGATGGGTAACAAATATCCTATATGCCAGGATCTGACAGCTACCAGGATGCATGCAGACATTGAGACCATTCCCAACGTGTCCCCTCCCAGGTCTCTTTGAACCCATGGATATGAAGTATGACCTGGTGCGTAACACCACCCTGGACCCATCGCTCACTGAAATGACAGAGGCTGCCATCACCATCCTGAGCAGAAATCCCAAAGGCTTCTACCTCTTTGTGGAAGGTAAGTGCTTACCTAGGGTGGGCAAGAGGGGGGGGTCCCACATCCCTGGATAGGGTTAGGAGTTTGGGGTGCTGCCGTTAGTCCCCAGCCCACCTTGGAGGCCTGTCTGCAGGTGGTAGGATCGACCATGGCCACCACGAAGGTGCAGCCCAGAAGGCGCTGACAGATGGGATTGCATTTGACCGGGCCATTGACCGGGCGGGCGCCCTGACGGACGAGGCGGACACCCTCACCGTGGTCACTGCTGACCACTCACACGTCTTCAGCTTCGGTGGCTACCCCCTGCGTGGTGCCTCCATCTTCGGTAGTGTTCTGCCCAGCCACCAAAAGTGGGGCACAGCCCTGTGGCAGGTGCTGCCAGCTCTGGGACACTCTGGCTGCAGCTGGAGGGATGATATGGGTGTTTCTTGGCAGATGACCCTCTATCGCCCTCTCCCCAGGTCTGGCTCCGAACAAAGCTGCTGACAATAAGAGCTACACAGCCATCCTCTACGGGAACGGGCCAGGTTACCTGGGTGCTGTTCGGCCTGACGTGAATGAATCCACAGCCAGTGAGGGCACAGGGACCATGGTCGGTGGTGGGATAGGGCTGTGGGCCACTGCTACCCCCCTCACTCCCTCCTTTCCTCTCCCCAGCTGAATTCAACTACGTGCAGCAGGCAGCTGTGCCCCTCAAGTCAGAGTCCCATGGTGGTGAGGATGTGGCCATCCTGGCCAAGGGTCCCATGGCCCACCTCTTCCACGGGGTGCAGGAGCAGACCTATGTGGCCCATGCCATGGCTTATGCCGCCTGCCTCGAACCATATGTCAACTGCCAGCAGCGGAACTCTGCCACTGGAGCCCAGAGCACCTTCCTGGCCCTGCTCCTCCCCACCATCCTCCTGCCCCTCTTCCACTGACCCCACAGCCCTGCATTCCCCCATCCCCACTGCTGCGGCACCCACAGGTGGATGGTGACTTTTTGGAGTATCCCTGATCTGGACATGGCAGTCATGAGGCACTGTACCCAGGAATGGGGTGGGGGGGGGGGGCTACACCATCTGCACAGGGTGCTGAGTGTTTAATAAACATGGAAAGTGATGCTACTGAGACAGCTGTGTTAGTGCTATGTGGGCCCCCATGCTGTGCGGGCAGGGCTGGGGGTGCTGCCCATCCCCTCACCGTGGCCTCTTGCACTCGCCTGGCATATCCAGTGCTTTATTGACCAGAAACAGCAGCAAAAAATACAGCAGGCGTCCATGTCCCCACGCTCTGGGGCAGGCTGGCATCACCTGGCCACAAGCCCTGCCCACCCACTGGCCGGGCTGAGGCAGGAACAGGAAGGAGCTGGCATGGGGGGTGCCTGAGAGGGCACCAAGCAGGGGGAGGCTTTTGGCGTGGGGTAGCCCCACATTGTGTCTGGTTCACTCTCCCTGCTTCGACTGGTGCTGGGCTGGATGTGGCAGGGCTGGGTGAAGGATTTAAGATGGGTGGACAGAAGAAGAGGAGGGGGTACACAGGAGTCTGGGCATTCCCTCCTTCTTCCATGGGGACTCAGCACCCCCATAGTGTGCAGGGCAAGGGGGTAGGAAGGGGATGGGTAGGGGGCAGCTGCATCCACACAAGAGCTCATGCTCACTGCAAATGTCTCCTTGCTGCCCCCACCCCTCTGGCAGGTGCCTATCTTTGGGGGCAGAGGATGACCCTCCATGTCACCCAGGGGTGCCCTCTGGGGGCAGAGGATGACCCTCCATGTCACCCAGGGGTGCCCTCTGGGGGCAGAGGATGACCCTCCATGTCACCCAGGGGTGCCCTCTGGGGGCAGAGGATGACCCTCCATGTCACCCAGGGGTGCCCTCTTTGCCTGGAGAGTAGGAGGAGGAGGTGGGCAGAGGCGTGGAGCAGGCACAGAGTGGCACTGCAGCAGGGATGGGGATGGGGGATGCCAGCCTGCGAGGGGGGATTGGCCTCACCACACTGAGCACTTGTGCACCGGGTTCATGGGTGAGTTTTTGGGGCAGTGGAAAACACGTCCAAACTCCTCGAACTGAGAGACACTGCCCAGGACCCTGCCGGGAGAGGAGGCAATGCAAAGCTGGGCACACTGTGCCCCCCACCACTGCCATGGGCCCCGGCTGGGCACCTGCTCAGCCCAGCAGCACCCATCCCCTTGTCCAGGTATGCCCACCCAAAGCCTGCTGGTGCCAGCACCCCAAAGGGTGCCCACTCCGCATGGCACCACCAGCTTTGGGGAAGGTTGGCACCCACCATTATCCCCCCTCCATTCTGGGGCCAACCAGTACCTGTAATGCTCTGGGGCATGTTTGTCTGTCAGCACCTGCAGGTAGATGGACTGGGATCGCCGCTTGATGCACCAGTTCTGCAGGGGAGAAAGGTTCCCACTGGTGAGCCGGATGGGGCATCCTGGGTTCCGGCACCCACCAGGGAATAGATGCTGCTGGGGTATTAGGGCAGCAATGCCCTGGTTGTACTTGTTATTGTAGGGTCTCCTGGGAGCCTGTGCGTGTGGTATAGATGCTTTGGGAGAACATGGAGGCATGATTGTTACTGTAGGGTCTCCTGGGATTGTGAGCTGCCTGGCTGTAGGGTCTCCTAGAAGCTTGGAGTCATACGCATTTGCTACTGTAGGGTCTCTGGAGGTGATGAGTAGGCCACGAATTTATTATGTAGGGTCCGCAGGAGCAGTGGGGCAATGCAGGGTGATCCTTGCAGGGCTGAGCTCTATACCCTGAGCCCAGGACCTGCTGATGGAGCTGAGCCCAACTCCTGACCATGGGCACCAGGCTGCTCAGGGCTCTCGCCCTGTCCCTTTGGGCCACTGGCCATACACAGGGTGACACCCCCCATCTCCCCCAGTACATGCCACATGTGGGAAGGGCAGGGGCTCACCTGGGCAAAGGCAATGAAGAAGAGCTGGTCGTGTGTGTATTTCAGGTGGTGCAGGGGGTGCTCTGGGCCATGCTCCCGCACCCACTTCTGGTAAGCCTGGAGAACAGAGGGTGGCCATCAACACGGCCTGGGCATCCCCCGGGCCTGCCCTGAATCGCCCCTATGCAAACCTCTCAGCAATCAGCAAGCCAGATCGTGCCCACTCCCTGCTGCAGTGGTGATGCCATCAGCAGCCACCCCATGGCCCTGCCAGGGCCATGACACCCCTCAAGGGGACACTTACGTAGTAGGCGAGTTTGAGCCCCCCCATGTCAGCAATGTTCTCCCCCAGTGTGTGTTTGCCATTCACCTGCCAAAAGAGACGATGGGGTAAGCAGAGATACCCCCCTCTCCAGGCATTCCCCCCATCCCCACCCTGACACCGAGACTGTGACTCAGTTGCTCCCACTCAGTGCCCAGAGGAATGTCCCAGCTGACCTGTGATGAGTTGCTGGGTCTCAGGGCAGAGCCATGCTCTCTTGCAGGCACCCAGCCCCAGCGATGGAGCAGCAGGGACCCGCCATGGGGCAGCGTGTGCCAGGGCATTGCCTGGTGGACAAGGGAGGTCTCACCCGCTGGTTGTAGACAGTGAAGTTGTCGTAGAGGTTTACGATGCACTGCGCCTTCTTCAGGAACTTGCTGTATGACCGCTCTGTCCACCAGTGCACCAGGTTCCCATGCCGGTCATACTGTCCCCCTGCCGAGGCAACCACCACCACCAGTAACCGCAAGGGACCCAGGTGTCCTGCCTACCCACGTCCCGCATGGCATGAGGTGGGGGGTTGCTCACCCCAGTCATCGTAGCCATGGGTCAGCTCATGCCCAATGATGGTGCCGATCCCACCATAGTTCAGTGACCTATCAGGCAGGGAGCAGAGGTGAGAGGGTGAAGTGCTGGCAGGGATGGCAGTGACCCAATCCCCTGCCCTGGCACCCCCAGCCATGCTCCAGCCCCACACTCACTGCGGAAACTCAGGGTCGTAGAGGGTGGGCTGCAGGATGCCAGCAGGGAACACTGGGGACACAGGAGAGCATTGCAGTTGTGGGTACCCTGCCCTGTACCCACACACAGCATCACCCAGCTCCAGGAGCTCCTCACTGTGCCCACCACCCCAGGCCCTCCCCAAATTCAGCAGCCTGGGGGGCTGAACCCCAAGGGGCTGGGCAATGTCTCACCCATCTGGTTCTTGTTGGGCAGGTAATACGCATTCAGTGCCTGGGGAGGCAGCAGCCACCTGCAAGGAGAGACAGTGATGCCAGGCTGCAGGAGCCCCAGTTGGGCATGGAAATGCCACCCCCTTGAGCAGCTCAGGCGTGGGGGGTATTCCTGGCTTGCCATGTGCCCTCCTGCCTATACCCTGTGGGGTACAACCAGACATAGGGACCAGCCACGCTGTGCCCTCATGCTTTCCAGGGCAAGGGAATACTCACGCGGACTTGTCCACCTCCTGCCGGATCTTCTTCACTGAGAGCCTGATGCCAAAGGCAATGCTGTTGAGGATGTTCTTGAAGTAGGTCTTCTCATCCACATCAAACTGGGGGACACAGCCATGTCAGGAGGAATGCCAACCCCAAGGGTATGGGAGCAGGGCTGGGGTACCCTTCCAACCCCATGAGCTTTGGGGACAGAGGGTGTAGGGTTGTGGCCATGAGTTGGATGTGGCTGGATGAGTATGACCTTATGTCCCATGCTCTGTGCCCCCCTGATCAGCTGCATCTCCGTCAGCTCCATGGGGCTCCTGGGCCATGCTGGTGTCCCTTGCTGAGGACAGAGCTGAGCTCTGGGGAGTGTGGTGTGGAGAAGGAGACATCATCCCAGACCCCAGGGACAGTATGGTACTGCCCAAGTGCATGTGACCGTGCAAGTGTGGGCAAAATCAACTATCAGGATATGGCTTGTTTGGGGCTGGCATCCTGGTCTCCACAGACTCTGAGGCAGATGTGGGGAACATCTACTCCCTCCACATGCCCAGGACCCCTCATGGCCCTGGTCCACCCCTTGCCTCATACTCCTTGTCGATGGCCTCTGGTTTCAGCAGGAAATCGGGGTACCCGATCATCACCATCATGTACCGGAGCTGTGGGCAAAGGGAGTGAGGGGCAGTCAAGGCCTCCATACCGTGTGCCCCTGGGCCATGGTGGGGGCAAAGGCACAGGGCCATGCTGGGGGCTACTACCTTGGCTCTGGCTGCTCGCCGTGTTTCCTCATCCATCCAGTCCAGCTCATCCAGGCGCTGATCCAGGATGTATTTAATGTCCTCCACCAGCTGCTGTACCTATAGAAAGTCACCACAGGCACTGTCACAGTGTCCTCACTACCCACCACCCCACCAGACAGCCCTCAGTAGGTAGGGCTTGGCAAGGTGACAGGAGGGATGTGGTGGCTTTGTACCCACAGGCAGTATCGCCTACCTTGGCTTTGCTGGTGGAGGAGAAGTGCTCCTCGACAAAAAGGGCGCCCAGGGCCATGCCGAAGTGCTTGTTAGCCTGGCTCAGGCAGACCTTGCCCGGCTCAAGCTGCTTCTCATTGCCCTCCATCTCCTTAGAGAGCTCATGGATGGCATCACGGAAGGGGGTGGAGAGGTGCTCACTCAGCACCACCACAATGCGCCACAGCATGTAGTTGTGAAGAATCCTGGTGATGGAGGGCGAGATCAGGACCCTCACACCGGTCATGTCCCAGGCACACAGGGAGGGTGGGGAGCAAGCATCAGGGTCCAGTCAGGCCATGGGGGTGGCCATGGCCTGTGGGGGCAACAGGAACAGGCTTGGTACCATGTCCCTCCCTGCTGTGTGATGGGTCTGGTGACCTCTAGCAGGGCTCAGTGGGTGGTTGGGCATGACCAGGGTACTCAAGACAGTGACTTCTCCCAGGAGCTTTCTAGGGTCCCCACCTTCAAGCCTGGCCTCCCCAAGAGGGGAGGATGATGACGGCACCATCCCCAGCCACCCTGTGCTCACCTCCATTGCCAACCCCTGCCAGGATGGGGAAGGTGTCAGGGCACAGGGGTGCCAGCCCCCCTCACCTGCTGGGCGTCACGCGGATGAGGTCAGACACCTTGTGCATGTAGTCGGTGGCCAGCAGCACCACCTCCTCCTCCTCCGAGAAGTTGTCATTGAAGATGCGGTCCAGCAAGCGCTTCCACTTGAGCTGCCAGGGCACTGTCAGGGAGGCACAAGGACACCCCCCCCCCCCATCCCCAGGCTTTCCAGCCTCCCCTTCCCACCCAGAAAAGTGCAGGATGGATTCATCCTCCTCAAGTGGATTTATGGGGCAGGGGGGCAACAAGGGCATGGAGTAGGGGGCAACTGTGGGGCACAGGGCAGATGGGGATATGGGGTGGCAAGCTGGGCACCAGAGGTACTCACCGTGGGGGTGATGCGCTGCAGCTCACCCAGGGTCACTTTGTGGTACATGCTGCTGACATCCCTCCGCACATCGTCATACTCAGACACTGTGATCTGCATGGGGTGGGCATGGCTGTCACCATCCCGTTGCCGGCCTTGTGGGTGGCACAGAGATGGGCACAGCTTTGGGACAAGCAGGGCTGCTGACCACAGTCCTCCTGACTCCTTGCCCTGGGAGGGTTCTGCTGACAGTGGGGCTGGTCATAGGGTCCCCAAGGAGTTTGGGTACCTGAGGACTGAGCACAGGGCTCCCCCAGGACCTAGACTGGGGTCCCAAGAGCTGGGCATGGATGCCTCAAGGGCCTGGGGTGGGTTCACAAGGACTGGACATGAGGACCCCCGAGGGCTGGAACACGGGGTTCTTAAGATGTCGGGGCTGGGGTATCTGAGGGCCTGTCACAGGGTCCTCAAGAGGATGCGATCCCCAAGGGCCAGGCATGAAGGTCCCCAAGGGCTGGAAATGAGGGTTTCAAGGTTCACTTAGGACCACATATGGAGATCCCCAATGATCTGTGACTGGGTGCCCAAGGTCTGGGCAGGGGCACACCAAAGCCCAGGACGGGCACCCCGCTCACATTGGCAAGGTGCTGCTCCAGCTGCAGGATCTCCTGAGCCTTCTGCTCCACGTGCTCAGCCCCCAGGAGGGTGAGCAACCGCTCCATGAACACCCGGTATGCCGCCAGGATCTGTGCCGAGGGAAGGGATGCTGAGTGCCACCCTGCACTGCCCTGAGGGCACCCCAGCTCCTGGCACTGCTGGCAGTGGGGTGCCCTTTGTTTGCCACACAATGCTGGGTGCTGGTCCCTCTCCTGGTTTCCCTAGGGCATTGGTATGGCACCCCTCACCTTCTCACTCTCCTCATCCTGCCCCAGGTAGAGGGTCCGTTCAGGCAGAGTTAGCCCATCCTGGTCAATCTGGGAGGGGAGAGATGGGGGCAGAGGGTGAGCTGGGGTGGGCTGTGCTGATCAGGGCACCCCTCACCTTCCCCCATATTGCAGAGTGCCCCTGGTGCCCCAGAAGTCAGCCCTGGGTATGGACAGGTCCTGTACCCTGGTTTCCCTCCTGCCAGAGGGTGATGGAGCTGCAGCAGGCAGCATGCAGTGGGCTGGGAGTGCTGGGCAGCAGGCAGGGCCCTGCTTCATGGTCCCCCCCACTTTCCATACCCAGACTAACACACACTGCTGGCCTGTAGGCACAGGCGCAGCCTCTAACACATACACACACCTGAACATGCCCGTACATGCATGCACACACATGTATCTGTAACTCCACCCTCATGACACACACTTGTGCATGCTCATCCGGCTACGCATTCATCATCTAGTTTAACACCCACCCCCCCAATGCACACACACAGAGACACACATGCACCCTTCCCTTTTCTCTCTGGCTCACCCCCTGTGTCCCATCCCACCAGCTGTAGTTCTGCTCTGCAGTCCACAGGCACCTCCAGCCTTTCTCCCCTTCCTTTTCCCCCTCCCCATCACAAATCCTCCCCTCTTTGGCTTCCCACAAAGGCACTGCCGCACAAACAGTCCTCCCGCACACATGAAGGACCCTCTCCCAGGCTCTTCGCACATCCCATCCCATCACATCCCATCGCACACCCGCTCCCAATCACACCCTCACACACTCCCCCAGCCAAGCCCCGGCACCCTGCCCTGGCTCACACCCATCTCCCCCCGCCCACCCGCCCCTTTTCCCTGGGACACTCGCTCCCCCTAGCGTACACTCCTCCTGCCCGCGGCGCGGCCCTGCTCGCACACACACCGCAGCAGGGAGCAGGGCACCCACCGCCTCACAGAGCCCTCCGCTGCTCCTGCCATCCCATACACCTTGTCCCCCTCCGTGCCCGCCCTCCGCCATGTTCCCATGTCCCTGCTGTGCCCACCCCCATGTTCCCTCCATGCCCACCACTGTGCCATTGCTGTGCCCCCCCAGTATGGCCCTCCATGCCCATCACCATGCCTGCCACCACACACCCACAAAAGCAGCTTGAGGCTTGCCCAGCCAGACAAAGCCCACCCACGCCCCGGTCTCACCACAGGTTGAGGGACAGGGGCTGGCAGGAGCAGGGAAGGCTGACAAAGCCATGAAAAAATGCGCTGGCACCCTGTTCCAGCGCTGTGGGGCTGGCAGGCATCCGATCATTGCCTAGGGTTTGGCCCCTGAGTACCAGTTGCTGGCAGCTAAAACGTCAAGGTGAGGGGGCTTGGCTACCAGTCATGGTGCCCTCTGGGCTGTCCCCAGCATCCACCCAGGCAACACTGTCTCACTCTGTACATCCCCCTGCCCTTTTCCTCAACCCTGGTCCTGGAGGTGCCACTCTCACCCCGGGGCAGCCTGACACAGGGGTTCCACAGGAGGGAGATGGGGGGGTCCCCAGGGATAGAGGCTGTCGCCAGCCCGGCTGCCTGCTGCAGGCAAGCCCACACAGTGGGCACCTGCCTAGTGCCATTGCAACAAGGACAGTGGCACCAGGGTGGTGTCATGGGAGCAGGGGGGTGCCTGGTGCAGGGACGGCCCGAGGGGCAGGGTGCCCTCACCCGGATGACATAGCGGGAGGTGTTCCTCTCGTCCAGGCTGACAGTAAGGGAGAAGAGCACCGCAGCACTGTAGACTCCCTGCGTCTTGTAGAGCAGCTCATTGATGTCTCCACGGCCCGGAGGGGCATCCCAGCCGCCACACTCCCCGATGACCTCCAGCATGGGCCGCGGACCCAGCCGGTCAATCTCAGCTCGGTCCAGGCATGAGCGGAAAAACTCCTTGACCTTCCTCTCGGCCGAGGCGGGAGCTCGGCGCCGCACGGGGCGGCTCAGCAGCGCCTGCAGCTTGGCTTCGTTCTGCTCTGCAATGGCCCCGATGGTGCCATACACCAGCTTGTCCTCCGGGATGCCGTGTCGCCGGAGCCAGCCACCACAGGCAAAGGAATAAAAGTCCTGGCAGGGGTCGATGGTTGCATCCATGTTGGCGCTGAGGAATCGGGATGCCCGTAGGAAGGCCTTCTTCTCCTGGCACCCCTCCAGGCAGTAGCTGTCCCCTTCAGCTGCCAGGTACTTGAGGACTAACATGCACGTCAAGATGACACAGAGCCCCGCAGCGAACACCAGCCCTGAGAGCAGGCAGACCTCCCGGCGGCTCCAGCGCGGCAGCCCCCCACGACGCTTCTTGGCCCCGGTGCCGAGCTGGAGGGTGAAGCCATTGGGCAGGGTGCCACTCTGGTACTTGCTCACGTACTTCACCTCCTGAAACTCATCATAGTGGGCTGTCAACGAGTAGGTCTTCTCCATGGCTGGGGATGGAGCTCCCCTCAGGCACCGTGACTGCAGGGGTCTCAGGGCAGGAGGTGGACAGGCTCAGGCACCCCACGGTTCATGCTGGAGCCATGCCCACTATTGGGAGGTGGTGGAGGGTGCCTGGGTGAGTCAGGAAGCTCCTGGAAAAGGCAGAGGAGGTGGTTGAGGATGGGTTTGGGAGGAGCAAGGCAGGGGGGTTGCTTCTTGCCGTCATCACTGCCTGTGCTGCTATCCCTGCCTGCCTGGGTGCCCTGCTGGGTTACTGGGACTGGCTCCAGTGCCAGGAGCTTCGTGACAGCTCTACCCCATAGCTGTCCTCTCTTCCAGACCCTCTGGTCACAGGGCAGGCTCCTGTCTGCACAATCCCAGGTAGATTTCATCACCCGGCACAGCTCCATCCCATACACCTGACACTCACTCAGAACACCAGGGAGAGCACCACACCAGCTGTGTACCCAGGGTGATCCGGTGAGTCCACCCTCACCCTGCACCATGACAGCCCTTCCTGGCACTGGGGGGAGATGAAGTCTGCCAGTCCCTCTGGGAGGGGTAGGAGAGGGGTGAGAAACTTAGGAAGAGGTGCTTTGGGAAAATCTGGGGGGAAGGCATCGGGTTCGGGTGTTGTGGGTTGGGTCGGGTTGTGTGGCCCTGCATTGGATTGCATCAAGTTGCACCATGGAGCATAGCGTTGCATTATGTTGGGTTGGGTCATGGTGCGCCGTGTTGCATCGCATTGTGTTAAATTGTGGTGTGGTGCATGATGTGTGAGCAAAGTTAATTCCAGTCTGGGGGGAGCCTTGGACCCCATGGACATCTCACAGCATTTTCACCCCCGCCACCACCCCTCTCTGCAGGCTGGTGCCCTATGGGCAGGGGTGTCTGCCAGGGGTGTCATGCCGGGGACAAAGGGGTCTGTCTGCCTGCCCATGGAAAAGGAGGGTGGGGGCATAGATGGATTCTGGGGGGCCTTCAAATATAGTCCCCAAGCCTTGCTCGGTGCAGGATGGCATCCGGATTTGCAGGTGGGAGAGGACAGGCTGGGGACAAAGAGCCACTCGGCAGGTGACCGGTTTCCCCGCGGGGAGCCCCCGAAGCCCCTGCTGCTTCCACAACTCGGGCAAAGTTGTGCCCCGGCACCACAGCCCGGTGGTGCCCGCGCCGGGGAGCTGCTGCAGCCGGAAAGTTTGCGGGGCCGGCAGCAGGCACAGCACAGCACGGCGGGGAGGACCGGGGGCTGACCGGGATGCTCGGCGGTTGCTACTCTGAATGTCGCCAGGTATGCTCGTGGGATGCTCGGGGGTGCCTAGGGAATGCTGCCCAGGATTCACGGGGGATGCTGGCAGGGATGCTCGGAGGATGCTACCCGGGATGCTAGGGAGATGCCTGATGGGATGCTCGGGTGATGCTCGGAAGGTGCTCGCCGGGATGATGCCTGTGGTGCTCGGGGGATGCTCAAGGTTTTGCTCGGGGTATGATCTCGAGGTGCTCGCCGGCAAGCTCGGCGAGTGCTCCCTAGGCTGCTCGAGAGGTGCTCACCGAGGTACTCGGGGGATGCTCAGGGGATGCTTCCCGGGATGCTGCCCGCGATGTCCGCGGGTGCTCAGGGGTCGCTCACCGCTTGCTCGCAGAGACACTTGGCGGATGCTCCCGGGATGCTCGGGGACGCTGCCCGGGATGCTAAGGGGGATGCTCGGGGGGTGCTTACCGGCTTGCTCGGGGGATGTCAGCAGGCTGGCCGGGGCTGCTGGCGGGGCGGCTCGGCGTTGCCCGCCCGGCTGCACTCCCGGCGCTCCGCTCCGCTCCGCTTCGAGCCCCGCTCCGCGCCCCGCGCCGCGGCTGGCGGAGCGGCGGGGCCGGAGGGAGGCAGCGGGGCGGGGAGGGGGTGGTGTCTCCAGCCCGGCTCTCCCGCAGGCCAGGCTCCATTAACGAGATTATTATGCAAATAGAGCAGCCTTGTGCCACCAGCCAGCCTTACCTCATCCCCGCCGGCGGGGAGGCAGGGCAGGGGGGTCCCCGGCTCCCCCGCCCCGGGGGGCTGGCACAGGGCTGGCAGTGCCAATCCACCTGGCAATCCTGGCCGGGGATCACTCTGCAACGACCCGGCAGCCCGGCACCCCGGGGGAGCTCGGGTGAGCACGGACGGTGGCCTGTGCCAGGAGCATCCCGGCTGTTCAGCACCCCAAACCGTGCCCGGGCACCCTGGGGGAGCCAGTCCCGTCCTGCCAGGGTGGAGGCAAGGGAAAAGGGCTGTGGGTGGGCAGGGATGAAACCTGGGAGTCCACAGGTGAGAAAGTGTGCATGGGGGTGGCACAAGGTAGCATGGGGAGGGGGCCATGCACTCACACATACACACACACACACACACACACACACACACACACACACACACACACACACACAAGAAGGTCTGGGAATATTAAACTGCATTGCAGATAAATCCCCAACATAAATATCGTGAGCTGCTCTGCCACGGGGGGGCCCAGCAAGGAGATTTGTAGCCCAGCAATTCCCATGGCCCACGGCGGCCACATACCCCAGCCCCACAGAGCCATCCTGCCTGCCACACTCTGGGGTGCCCTGCCACCCTCACCCCTCGTGCCTGCACAGCTTTGGGAGCTCGGGGGGTGGCCCTAGGACATCCTGGGTGCTGGAGTGAGATCCCCAGGCAGCACACACTGGGTGCTGTGCTACACATGGTGTAAGAACCCTGTTTGGCACAGGATGGGTGGCTTGACTGGTGTGGGACCCACTGTCTTGTCCCTTGGGCTGGTCCCAGGCACAACCCTCACCGCCTGGGCAGCTGAGGCTGCACTCTTCTGTGCTGGAGTGCAGGGAACAGCCTGAGCAAGTTGCCTACAGCACCATCAAGACAGGTAACATCACATGCACAGGTAGTGGCACACACATACATCACATGTACACCAAACACAACCAGTACAGACACACATGCTGTGCCTCACACACAGAGGCTCAAACATGCACTGCCATCCAGTTCCCATTACAGGCACATGTACACTGGCACACCCATGCCTGCTCACACACACACATACTTGGGTGTTACAGCAAAGTTTTCCTGCAGCACACACCAGGACACAAGGGCTCTGTGAATCCCACCAGACATCCCCAGCTTGGGCACCTGAATCAGCCCAGCTCCAGTGGGGTGCAAGGACACTTGGACCCAGGCTGCTTGGTGGGTGGGCATGGCGCGCCCAACACTGCTGCTCACTGGGGAGCTAGGTGAAGGGTATCACACACCGGCCTCCCTGCACCTGTGCTTACACAGCTCCAAGAACTGCTTGGCACCTTGGTGGGAGCATGATGGATGCACACAGGAGAGGAGGGGCTGGCATTATTAATAGCCCTGGGTATTGCTCCAACAGGGCTATAAAAATTAAAGGCATGTGGATATAAAATAATGGATAAATCTGAGCTGGCTGCAGAGCGCTGCAGCGTCCCACAGGAGTTGGGATCTCAACAAGCCAGGGTACGGCAGGTGTGGGATGGGCATTTATGTGTAGACATCAGGCAGTGACAGCACCTGTTTCCAGATGCCAGCTCCCCCAAAACATCTCCACTGAGTGCTCTGAGGGGGTGCGTGTGTGGTGCCAACCCGTGGAGCTGGCACTGGGAAGCACGCGGCTGCTCCTGAAGCTAGGATGGAAGGTGACCAGGTTGTGCCTTTGCAGACACGGCTGGGGGAACAGGGCACTTGCTCTGCATGCCCACAAGCACTGCCCAGCACCTCCCGCAGGTAAGATCTGTGCCACAGTGCCAATACCTCCAGGGATCACAGATCTCGTGTGACCCCGGGGCCCTGCCCACCCTGCTACTCGTGACTCCAACCCCGAGCAGGGCTCAGAGCAGAACGCACCTCCCCAGCCGCACTGAGCCCTGCCAGCCCCGCAGGCCACCCCGCCAGCATCCTCATTTTCCCCGAGATTAGCCGCGGCGCGGGAGCCTCCGCGCACCGCCAGCAGGTGACAAATAAGATTTTTCCACTCTCCCGAGCACCCGGCATGGGTCTGTCATTGAAAATGCAAAGCAGCGCGGTGCCAACCTCTGCCGCCCACCTTCACCTCTGCCAGCCCCTCCATGCCGAGCACCCATAAAGCTGAATCCCCCAGCACTTCCACTTGACCCCCCCACTGCTCCCCCCTGGCAGTGCTTGGGTGCTGGGCATAGTGGCCTCATGTCCATGGATCAGGTTCCTGGGAGGTTTCGTAGACGGGTGCTAGTCTGGGTGTGCCAACCTGGGCAGAGAGCATGGCCTTGCAGTGTCCTTTGGGTGCACCCACGGGCTCTGCAGTGTGGGTAGGAGAGTGGGGTATAGGGGTGCAATGGTGTCCCTGCCATGCTAGGTGCATGCACGCCTCCAGGGCCTGCCTGCCTCCAGGAAGGATGCCAGGCTCTGGAATAGGCACACAGTAGGCTCACCCCAGGGGTAGGGGATGAGGGATTGTCCCTTGTAGGAAACACTTAGCCCAAGCATTGCTCTGCAAACTCCACCCCAAAGGACCCCCATCCTGAGCACCCAGGGGGTGAAGGAGAGCACTCCACCCCACAGCTTGGCACATCTACCCTGAAACCACAACCCTCACCCACCAACCCAACTCTCCCAAACCCCTCAGTCCCCCCTCAGCTCCAACCCTGGCATCCCATTACCCAGCCAGCCCAGGACCCTCCCCAGCAGCGCTCAGCCCTGCTCCTCCCCGCCGCCGCTGCGTCTCCCCTCCGCTATTGTCAGAGGGCTGCCTCTGCCTCTGTCTGCGAAATTAATTCGAAGGTGGAGAGGGAGAATTATGTAAAGTGTGGTTATTCTGGAGCGGCGGGGGAAGCGCGGCTGATGGCAAAGTGCCTTTTTGTGTGTTTAATATGCATTTTTTTCCAGCGGTGCATTTTCAGGCGGGTAATTTGCTGTCTTTTCAGACCTCGATCAGTATCATTTCTCCGGCAATGACAGCTTTTATTTGCACTGAAATGAATGCTGCGAAATTTCCAAGAAATAGTCGAGGCCCCACTGGCTGCCCACCCCCATGGGGCTGGGGCACGGGCACCCACCAGCGCCTGCCCCCCACAGTCCCACTCGGGGGCAGTGCCTTGCGGTGCTGGGCACACACGTGTGCCAGTTTGCACAGCCTGTGCTCACAGGTGTGTGCTCTCCCATGGCTCCCCTCACCTTCCAGCCTGTGTGCGGATCAGAGCATCACGCCGAGGGGTGGGTTCATACACACCCCACTGCATGTGCACATATAGCCACTCTTTGTGCACGTGCACATATAGCCACTCTTTGTGCACATGCACATATAGCCACTCTTTGTGCACATGCACATATAGCCACTCTTTGTACACATATACCCCTCAGCATGCACATGCTCCCTTAACAGGTACACACATGTGTGCCCCACAGACATGCCCCTCCTTGTGTGCTGGCAGGGCCCACCCACCATTTTGTATCCCCCCCACTACCTCAACATAGCATCACTGAGCCACGGCACCAAGGTACCAGGAGGTTTTGGAGGTCACACACACACTCCCCCCTCTTATCCCCAGTACAGCCTAGTCCTTGGGGAAACTGAGGCACAGAGGAGGCAGGCACAGATGGGTGTTCTCCCTGCAGCCCATCACCTCCCGGGCACCCACAGCAATGGGTGGGAGCCTGGAGCAGCTGCAGGGTGTGCATCTCTGTTTGTCTCCGTGTCTGTCGGGAGGAAGAAGCGTTGTTTGTGTAGGTGTGCGCTGCGTGGGTGTTCCGCACTGGAGCTGCTGTGCCGGAGCTGTTGTGCTGGTGTGTGAGCTGCCTTTTCTGGTCAGGCACATCTGGGTGCGCACATCTGGGTGTGCATGCATGCACCTGTGTCAGACCCTGCCCAAGCCCCAGTGTGTGTGACAGCGTGTCTGCAGGGGGGGCATGTGCATATATGTCCATGCCATGCCTTCTGTGCTCCCCATGTATGCCCAGGCACAGGAGGTTCAGGGGTGATGAATGGTGTTGGGGGGTGCCCATGCATGAGCAATGCTGCACCCTACTATAATACTGGGGGGGGGCTGTATACTCCCAGCCTCAGGTCCCATACACCCCCAGCTGCAGGTTGCCAGCTGCGGTGGAGCTGGTGCTGGCACGGCCAAGGTTAACTCTGCTAGAGCCTGCCGGCACAGTGTGGGGAAGCTTTAATTTAATGAAGTGTGAGGCTTTTTATGGGCTTTTAATTACGTGGTGATAATTAACATTATAGGCCGTCGGGTCCCGCTGGTGCCCAGCTGCCCTGTGCCAGCTCCCGCCTGTTTGTAAATAAGCCCTGCAGGCTATGTGGTGCCCAATGTGGGGCACTCACCTCCTGCTGGGGGGAGCAAAGCCAGCTCTACCCCCCTGGCCACCCACTGAGGTGGGGACTTGGGCACAAATCTGAGCACAACCCACTGCAAAACGGGCAGAGTAAACCTCCCACCACCACCCAGCAGCACCCGGCCGCCTCCAGTTTTCCAGCCCTCCAGCTGAGCAGAGCTGCCAGGTGGCAGTGCCAGGCTTGGTAAGAGCTGGCATAGGCAGCCCCACTGCTGGAGCCCAGCCTGACCAAGAGCAGCCCCCCCCGTGCTGGGGGGTAATAGGAAGCAATCCATCAGGCAGTGCACAGGCGCGCTGCCTGCCTGCCAAGCGCCCGATGGATTTATCGTCCCGCACCCAGGCAATTTCCTGCCCTCCTCTAATCAATAAGAGGGGGGGGCAGGCAGAAAGGGCAGCTTCCCTGTGCAGGTCATGATGGGTGTGGGGAAATGGCAATGTCCCATGAAACAGGTCACAGAACAGGGCTAGGGGATGCAGTGGTTGGATGAGGCTCCCTCCTGGCCAGTCTTTTTCTCCCTCCTTGCCAGGACCAGGAGTTCAGACCCCTTGAGGTGGGCCCTGCAGATTGAAACGTCTGCGTCCCCCCCACCCAGCAGCACAGGGGATGCCGAGCAAGACACAGGGTGCCATACTTCATAGCCACTGGGGCCAGCACCCAGCTGCTCCCCCCGCTTCCCAGCCTCACACAGGGAATCCAGGCTCCCCTCCCCCACCCCTTTCCATTTAATTTTTCCTAATGAAAGGCAGGGAGGATGGCGAGGAGCTGGGGCACCAAGGTCGAGGCTGCCTTTAATCAATCCCCACTGCTGGCTGAGTGCCCGGAGGAGCTGGCAGAGAGGAGGCTGGGGGTTGCAGGAGTGGGGAAGCATGGGGAGGGAGGTACATGATATGAGCAAGGAGCTCCCAGCAAACTGGGGCACCCAGTGCTTGGCACCCGCCGGGACCCCACTATCACCCACCAGCACCCCAAAGAAAAGGCACCGTGAATGCAGGGCTGTGCCTGGATCCTGCCAGGGCAGCTTTCATCCTCTGCAGGAGACACCCCCAAAAAAATAACCCACCCCCAGCATGAGGCACTGAGCCTCCTGCCCGCCATGGTGGGGGTACTGGGGCTGGGGACAGCCCCGGGCTCAGGCTGCTAAAGGCACTGGGCAAAGGAGGGTGAAGGGAGGTGGGGGGGACCTGGGAGGTGATCTAGAGCTGGGTGCTGGTGACGGCACTCACCCCATGCACCAGCACTGTGGGGCCCAGCCCGCGGGTGAGCAGCTCCAGCTGGTGCAGGTAAAGTGGGTAGAGGCTGGTGTCGGCCGGTGGCCGTGGCAGGTAGAGGAAGCGCACGACTGGCGCGGGGCTTTGCTCCAGGATGAGTTTGTTGGCAGCACACACATACTCATCTGACACTTGGGTGGTGTTGGCTGGGAAGTTCATGGTCTCTTCCTCCTCCTCCTCTGTTGCCCCAGCAGGCCCTCCCGGGGGTCCCCGGCAGGTCTGCCAGTGGAGGCGGGTGACAGCATCCCAGGGCACCAGCTGGATCTGGGCCTGGATGCGCAAGTCCTTGAGGAGCTGGCGCAGCTTCTCCTCCTGGGCATGGGGCATGGTACCCGCCTCCACGCAGAGGAAGAGGCGCAGGCAGGCACGCCGCCAGGCCCGTGCCATGTTGAGGACGCAGGCCATCTGCAGCAGGAACAGGCTGCAGGTGTCGGCGTAGCGGGCACTGTCAGGCCGCAGCAGGTTGATGGGCCACACATGGATGGCAGGTGAGGGACTGGCAGCCCGGCGCAGCTCCTGGGCCTTGTCCAGGCTCTCCAGCTGCCGGGCCAGCAGGACATTGCGAAGCATCTTCAGGGCATCAGCCACGATGCCCACATACTCCCGGGCTGAGAGCAGCTTGGGAGCAGCAGGTGCCCGCAGCGGGGGGAAGCCCAGGGGGATCTCCTCACGGGTGCTGGTGAAGGCAGGGTGCTGGGCTAGACCGTCCTGCGGTGCTGCATCGTCGTAGAAGCCCAGCACCAAGGTATTGGGGCGCATCCCACCTGCCAGAAAGACCACCATAGTCCTGGCCAAGCAGAGGCATTGCAGATACCCAGGAGCTGCAGCTCAGCTTTGACATTGCTCACCCCGGTGATTCCAGACCCCTCAGGATCACATGCACAGATACCTCCAAGCCCCAGCTTAGGTTTGGCATTACCCACATATCTCTTCTCCAAGCTCCAACTCGGCTTTGGCACTGCCCCCACTGGGCGCTTCCAACCCCCTTGCCATTGCCCATTCACAAGTCTTCAAGCCCCTCAACATTGCCAACACAGATGTCTCCAACAACCCAACGTCACCTCAGCATTGCTCACCCCTGATGCCTTCAAGACCCAACTTGGATTGGCATTGCATGTCCAAGTGCCTCCAAACCCCTTGGCACTCCTCACCCCGCAGGGGCAGCAAGGTGGACCCTCACCCATACCCAGACCAGGTGCCACTCACCAAGGCCAGAGGTGAAGAGGAGCTGCCGGACACCGTGCCGCACTGAGGGTGCAAGGGTGAGGCTGACGAAGGCCTTGACGTTCAGTTTGTCCACCAAGGTCAGCCATGAGTCCTGCTGGGGCTGCAGTGGGTCTGAAGGCAGCATGTCTGGGTGGGGAGCAAGAACAGCATCAGGGGTAGGGTACCCCTCAGGCGCCCCACAGCACTCTCTCTGCAAAACCAGTGGTAACCTCTGTGCCCATCCCAGCACGCACAAGATGGGGAAGGTAGAAGCAGGTGCTTCCAGCCAGAGAGATGAAATTATACGTAAATATATAGAAAATACCCAGGCAGCCCCATCCCTCCTCCCCAATTTCAGGCCATTAATCACCATGGCAACAGCGGCAGGGAGGGGAGCAGAGCCCAGGCATCAGCTGGGGCAAGGATGAGGACAGCCATGGCGTGTGCCAGGGAGCACATGTGTGCAAAACAACACACACCAGGAGGCAAACATGCCTGAAACATGTGGACACACAGTGGCGGGCATGAGGCAAGGATGGACACAGGCACATGCATGCACAAAGCTGTGCCATGTGTACCCACATGCATGCAGGCGTTGACCTGCGCCAAAGGACCATGCTGCACAGGAGCCCAGAGGAGCCTGGGTGGGATGTGCCACGTGTGCATACCCGCACTGACACACACAGGAGCCCCATGTAGGGATGGACACCTGAGCACAAACATGCACAAGCTTTTGGCACACATCTGCAAGCACACATTTTGCACAGGAGCCATGGGACAGATGCAATCTACTTACATCTCCCATGCCAAGCCAAGCCCAAGGTCCAACACCTTTGCCCAAATGCAGACATTCCCTTTGCTATGCCCAGCCTGCCCCCCAATCATCCCAAGGACTCCAAGAGCCCCCTGGCACCACAGCAAGGGACAGAGGCCACCAGTGCTAGAGACAGTGAAAACCCTCACCCAAGTCCTGCAGCTCAACATGGCCCAGGACATAAAGGCCACTCTTCTTGAGGTCATTGACAAAGTCAATGAGCCGGGCACTGCCACGTGGGTTCTGCACCATCAGCAGCATCTGTGGGCGCCAGAACTTGACATGGTCCTTCCGCACATCCAGCATCAGCAGGTACTTCCGCACCTGGATGAAGGAAGAGAGGGCAGCAGGTAAGGAAACCTCCTTCTTTCAATGAATCACACCACGGGGATGCCAGCCCCAAGGACACGCTGCCCAGGACAGAGCTGCCACAGTGACACCAGCTTGTGGACACCAGCTCTCCACTCCATTAGGATCCCAGTGTGGAGGAGCTGAAGTTGAGGAGGACAGAGCTCACCTGGTGGAAGATGAGGGCCTGGCTGATGTAACCCCATGTACTGCTGGGCGAGAGGTAGTGGAGTGCAAGGAGAAGCAGGAGGAGAAAGCCCAGGCTTGCTGAGGCTGACACAGGGCTGATGAGGAACATCATGACACAGCAGCCCGCAATGCCCAGCAGGCACGTGTGCCAGGTGAAGTACCGGAAGGTGGGCCTGGAGCAGGGAGAAGGGGACATCTGCTATTATATGGTTCCCATACTGCCTGCAGGGCCGGCACAGCATGGCGGACTATGCCAAGGTGCCACACCAGCCACCCCAGTGAACCCCTCTGTGCCAGCCCAGTGCACGTCAGGCATCCCAGATGCCTGCAGAAGAGGGCACAGAGGGAAATAGTACTTCCTAGGGCAGTGGGCAGCCCCTTGCTGCTAGCCCATGGCAAACAGGGCTAACGATGGTTACAAGGCTGGTGCTGCCCTGGCACACCCAGGGGACCAGCTAGTGTTGGGCAGTGCACAGCAGTGCCGGCGGCTGCGGTGTCTGCTCAGCCTGGCACAATGAGGAGGAGGTGGAGAAGCAAGAAGCTGTTATTTTCTCTAATTGTTGTTTTTCCTGAAAGGTAATTAAAATCCTTTTCCGCTGCGCTTGATGGAGACCTTAGGGCGAGGGGGGGACCACACGTGGGGTGGGTGATGGGACTGCTCCCACCCACTCCCCGAGCCTTCCTTCAGGCACCAATCCTGCCCCATTCATGCTCAGCAGCTATGGGGGGCAAGTCCCAGCCCCTCAGCCTGGCACACACACCAGCCCACCCTTGGGAATGGGGCACTCTGGGGGACCCCAGGCAGTGCCACCCAGCCATGTTTGGGCACTGCCTCTGTAACACCTGCAGGACTCCCTCTGTTTTGGAGTCACAACATCCTGCACTGAGGGCAGTGGACATCACACAGGACTGAGATGAGGCTCCCCCCAGCCATCCTGCTATGCCCCACCACCCCTCCCAGAGTTGGGCAGCCCTGCCAGGCCAGCCCTGCACCAGAGTACCCAGCACTCTGCACCCCAGGCTGGGGCTGCCCACAGTCCTTCTTCATAGTCCTCCTTCCTGGAAGATATTTTCTCCTCCCCCCCATCCAGGATCCCCCTCTTTCCTCCCTCCCTCTTCTCCCTTAGTTTAATTAGCACTAATGGAAAGTGGGCTCCATCACCACTTGGCAAACTGCCCAGGGGATGCCGGGCAGGCATAGGCTATAACTTACCTCAGCCTATGGGGAGGGGGCGGGTGGTACCCAGTGGAGTTGGATTTATCTGTACCCACTCAGCAAAGCAGTGTCAGTGCACGAGGACTATGCCAAGCCAGTGCCATGCGGGGACCTGTCTCCTTCTTCCTCCCCAGGGATGGGGGTGTTTCTGCCCCCTCAAATGCCCAAGAGAGGGGTACTCAGCATCTTTCCTGACAGAGGGGCAGCAGGCACAGGGATAGCAGAAGCACAGATGGATGGATGAATGGGTGACTATCCAGCATATTGGCACAGCCTCCCTCCCCTGTGCCAGGGGGTACCTGAAGTTGGGGGCTGATGCCCACTCAAGTGCCAGGCAGGCCAGGTTGACGGTGGCGTAAACCAGGAGGAAGAAGGTGGTCACAACCCCCGCGATGGTGTTGAGTTTCCCAGAGAAGAGCACCAGCTGCAGAGAGCACAGGAGGAAGCACAGGGTGAATGCATCCCCCAGGATGGCATGTGTCAGGCTCCACAATGTTGGCCCAGGTGCCAAACCACCTTCACCCAGCAAGGCTGGGAAAGGAGCATCGCTGGCAAACTCACCTGCACTACCAGCCAGGAGAGGATCACAGCCATCACTGGGTTCCCATTGGCAGAGGTCTTCTTGGCCAGCACTAGCGCCCGGCCTGCAGGCAGAGGAGGGAGGTTGGGCTGGGGCACACCAGTGGACACCAACAGGTTCAGCCATCAGCCAGAAGTCCTGTCCCCACCCTGGGTGCTGAGGAGGGGGCAAACACCAGGGCCCGCAGGTGACCCAACTGGTCACACGCCGATTCCCAAAGTACCACCCCTATACCAGGAAGGGGACACCCTGGTGCCAGGGCTGGCCCCAAGCAGGTACAATCTGCCAGGTGTGCTCTGGCAGGTGCCAACGCACTCCAGGCACTCACCAAAGAGATCATCTCGGGCCAGGGCATAGAGGATGCGGGATGCTCCGATGAGGTTGCTCATGGCTGCGGAGAGGGTGGCAGCGTAGATACCTACGGTGACCAGGGGCGGGAAGATACTGATGTCACGCAAGAAGCCATAGTCCTTCTGCAGGAGGATCCTGAGGAGGGACATGGACATGCTGGCACCTGCTTCGGCTCAGGCCACCGTGCCTGGCACTAATGGCCCTGGCAAGGGGACAGGTGGCCATACCTGTTGCAGGTGGCACACATGAGGAAAGCCAGCAGATTGTACACGAGGTAGGTGAAAAGCACAGCGGAAATAGTGCCCCGTGGGATGGAGTAGCTTGGGCGCTTCAGATCCCCTGTGGGCAGGAGCAAGCAGTATTAGTACCTGCTAGCACAGCACCCGCCTTGCTTTCCTCCAGCCTCAGCTCCCACTCCCACTGTCACCCAGCCCAGCAACCCCTGCCCATACCTGACATGTTGGAGCCTGCCATGATGCCGGTGCAGCCATTGAACATCACCGCAAAGACAGAGCTGAAGCTCATCCTCTGCCCGGTGGTATAGTCTATCCCGTACCCACCTGCAGAACACATGGATGCAAGCTGTGATGGGCTGTCCAGGACAGTGCAGCCCTACTATATACCCTCTCCTCAATGTCCCCATAAACAAACCATAGGAAAACCTACCCTATGGCACCTACTTTGTGCCCACAAGCTCCCCCCACCCTCCAGCGAGCCCCTGCAGATGTGGAGATGCCAGTGTCATAGTGGGTCCAGCAGGCAGGGGGGGGAGAGCCTCTCCTCACCCCCCAGGTTGTCTTGCAGGGTGGCGAGGGAGAACCCAGTGAAGTTGCCATTCTCAGTCTTAGAGCCATTGAGGTAGGGCAGGTGGATTGGTACTCCGAGGGGCCGTGTTGCAAAGAAGCTGACAAGGATGGTGCCCAGGACACCCGCAACAATGAGGAAGATGAGGAAGGTGGCCTTGGCGTAGATGGAGGCACCCACAAGGCACACAAGGAGGCAAAGGGCCAGCAGCACGGTACCATAGAGAAGTTCATACCAGTAGCTCTGGGGCAGGACATGGATGCCAGTGCCCACTTTTTGCCCTGGGGAGAGACAAGCCAGGATCAGTGGGGCTTGGAGGGGGAAACACTGGAGCAGATAGCATCGCTGCTGTGCCAGGCTTGACAGGCACTAGCTCTGTTAGCTACCCAGACCAGACGGCTGGGTAAGCTGTGCTGTCTATGCCAGTCATGGTGCTTGGCATGCCTGGCAGGGCACTAGGGCTGCTTGGGTAAGGGACACCCACTGTCCCCTGCCAAAACACATGGGGGTACTTACCAAGTGGGATTCCAAAGCTGTCTACCAGTGCCTCCACCAGCCCCAGCACATAGAGGGCACTACCACACACGTTGGCCAGGAAAAACATGATCCCGATGCTGCCCCCAAACTCTGGGCCCAGGGCACGGCTGATCATATCTTGCTTGAGTCAAGGGAAGATGCCAGCAGCCCAAACCACCAGTGGGTGCTCCCACTCCTCCCTCCCAGGACAAGGAGGTCCCAGCCCCAGTGTGGCACCCCAAGGCCGCTGAGTGATCACACAATTATAGCACACATGCTCTGCCCCAGCAGCAACCACAGCAAAGGATACAGTAGGCTCCTCCAGCATCCAGAGCCCCGTTGGTGGCAATGGCACACACAGACAGCACTGTCATACCGATAATGAAGTATGCCACTGCAAACATGGCCAGGGCTTGGTATAAACCAGCATGGCCCACCACGAACCCTGCCAAGGATAGGGAGAGAAAATGAGCCATGTAGCTGGGTGTGGACCGCTCCTAGGACAGGGTCCTGGGCACAGCCAGAGTTCACCCCACTGAGACAGACAGGCTGCTCCCATCCTTGGGCCCACAGCTCCCCCCAGGCATACCACTCCCTTCCCTGCCAGGATGGGTATATCTCCACCCAGCTGGTGCTCTCACTTCACGACATCTCCACCCTCCTCCCATGCCAGGATCAGGCCCAGGAGTGCCCTGGGCACGGGCAGCTCAGAGGGGCACAATCAAAAAGCAAACAGGGCAGGGGGGAGTCTACCGTCCACCTGGCCAGAGGGCACTGCGGGGGGTGCTAGGACCCCCATGCCCTGCTGCCACCCTCAGCGGGTAGGAGGTGCCTTACACCCCAGCTTGGGCACCAGGAGCTGATGGGCACTCCATCGGGTTTGTGTTGCCGCCCTGCTTGCCTGCTGCAAAGCAGGAAGCAGAACAGCCCCGGGGCATCCCCGTCATACACTGCAACCCCAACCCCCCTCCCCATGGTGTGTGTGTCCCCGGGATGGGGCACCCAGAGCCCCCCGCGGCCCTGCCCGGGGTGACGGGAGGCGAGCGCAGCCGGCGGCGCTGCGGGCAGGAAGAGGCTGCCCGCGGCTGCAGGGAGATGCCCTATCTCAGCCGCAAGCCAGGCCGCAGCCATGCCCGCAGGGAGGCTGACGGGGTGCCGCGGCACGGGCACTGCAAGGAGGCCTCAGAGAGACAGGGTGGGTTTGGAGGCACACTCTGTGACCCCAGAGGGATGGAGGGTGCCCCAGTGCCAAAAGGGGGACAGCCGACGGGGGGGGGGGGGGGGGGGGGGGGAAATAAAAAGGTGTCCCGAAAGAAAGCAGTGCTGAGGAAGTAGGAGGAGCTGCTCGCCATGGAGATCTGGGGGATGTGTGAGGCATGGGGAAGGAAGCAAGACGCTGCCGGGGGAATCACGGACCCCCCACGGTGGGACAGTTCCTCTTCCCGGCAACTCCCCTCCCCCTCCTCCCTACACTTCCCTTCCGGTTCCGCGCCCCCCCGGAATAATGCACCCCAGGGAGGGGCGTCCCGGCACCCCCTGCAGGGTAGGGGGGTCAGGGCCTGTGCCAGGACCCAAAGCAAGGGGAGCAGAAAGGGGGCGAGTGATGGCAGGGGAGAGCTGTGCCCACAGCCCCCAGCAAAGTGGGTCCCCCAGGCAGGGGAAGGGGCTCAAGGGCCCCCCAGGCATGCAGCCAACTTCCGCCCTTGGGCTCTCTGTGGGCAGAAAGTGAAAGAGGAAAAGCCTTCCCTGTCCCTAGGTGCCCTAAGCCTCTGTCTGCCCCAGGACAGGCTGGGGCATCTCTCCCCTCCTAGGACCCCCCAAAAGTCTGCCACCTCCTCGAGCCCATGCCCACCCTACCTCCTAGCTCTTCCAGATTGCCCGGTAACAGGCTCATAACCTAAACTGGGAGCAGACTGGGATCAAATCTGTGCCCTTTGAACAACACAGAGGAGGGGGCAGCTGGGTGCTCAATGGGAGACACCAGGGTCAGGTCCTCCTGTTGGGACACCATGTAGCATGTGGGAGAGAATTGGGGTCCTGTATTGGAGTGCTGTAGCCCGGCATTGGCTGATGCTTTGAGAGCAGTGGGGTTTCAGCACTGGGGAAGGGGGGACACAAGGGCACTGGAATCCTGTTTAGGGAAGGCACTGGGAAGGCTCAGAAGTCCTGCCCCAGAGACACTAGGGCTCCAGACTAGGGTCCCTTACTGGGGGCACTGAGGTCCCTAACTAGGGGACATGCTGGGACATAGGTGCAGCATGAGCCCTGGAGCCCCAGACTGGTGAGGTCAGGAGGAGACACACAGCATCAGGACCCCAGCCTGGGATAGAACCGAGACAGCACTTGGACTCCAGACTGGGGGGCAGGAGAGGGCACTGGGGCTCCAAACTGGGGGGGGGGGAGGGTGTCAGGAAAGGGCACTGGGGCTCCAGACTGGGGGGCAGGAGAGGACACTGGGGCTCCAAACTGGGGGAGTAGGAGAAGGCACTGGGAGGGCACTGGAGTGAACACGGGGGCGTCAGATTGAGAGGCTGGGGACAAACGGAGAGGGCAAAAAGAGGATACTGGGGCTCCAGACTGTGGGGCTCGGGATGAGCATGGAGGCTCTGGGAAGGGGAGGAGGGCCCGGGAGGACACGGGGCCACTGGGGGTACCAGGCAAAGCTGGTGAGTCTCGGGGGACCTCGGGCTGCGGTCGGGAGGGGTCCGGCGGGCGGCGGCACTCACCGAGGCGCAGGAAGAGGACGACGCTGAACATGGAGAGGAGCGTGGGTACCACAACGCCCAGGAAGGTGGGCAGCTTGCGGTGAGCGGTAGCGGTGGCGGCGGCCCGGCCGCGCTCCCGGCCCCGCTCCTCCTCGCCCGAGGCGCCGCACAGGCGGTACGTCAGCAGCGCGCTCCGCTCCGAGCTCGCCATGGCCTGCCACGGCCTCGAAACCCACCCAGTCTCGGCCTCGGCCGCTGCCCCGCCAACCCCGCCTGTCGACCCGGGCCCGACCCGCCGTGCCCCGCCCCTCTCCGCTGACCACGCCCATGGCCTCCGGAATAGGCCACGCCTCCAGACCCGCCCCGTTGGCGAGGCCCCGCCCCCTCTTTGGCCCCACCAGCAACCTCCCATTGCTATCGCGGCCCCTGGCTCTAGATGTACCCCCATAGTGGTGGCCCACCCCAACACCCCCCTTGACCCCACTGCTACCCCCCATCCCGAATCCCCCTAACCCACCCCCTCCCGTGGTCTTCCCACTCCCGGTACCAGGCATTGACACACCCTACCCCTCCCAAAACCGGACCCCACTCCCCTGAATCGTCACACGTCCCCTGCCCCGACCTTCCAGCAACCGGCACCCCTGCACCGACCTCTGCACCCCCAAGCTGCCCCCGGTCACCACCAGGGACGCCGGTACTGCACCCCGCTCACTGTGCCTCTTCCCCGCGACTCCAGCCGGTGCTGGTCGGGCTCGGCTGCCCGCGCCAATTACCGGGCAAGCGGGGCCCCCGGGGACACAGTCCCTCCCTCCCCGCAGCCAGGGCTGGGATCTGCCCGGGATCCGGGGTCCCACTACCTCCGCCGCCCGAGGTTGCCAAGCGCCACACCAATTAAGTTAATGGTGTTGGCGCCGGGACCGGGAGAAAGGGGGGGGGCACAGTGGGGCCGGGGGCGAACCCCACGCCTGCCTTGAGTACCCGCTTGAGTGCCGGCTCCTGTCAGCCGAGCGGTTGACCCTCCACGGCGCTAGTCCGTGTCACGAGTGGGGGGATCAGTGGGGGCACACCGAGACGGAGCGCGGGAACCGCTCCCGGAGAGCGATCGCGCTGTCCCCCGTCCCCATCCCTGCCGTGCCCTGTGGAGCGCAGCGTGCTCCCGCGGCCGAGGTGGGAGCCCGGCGGGGCCGGAGCTTTCATCTGCGGCGAGCCTGTCGCCGTGCCAGCCGCGGCCAGCGCAGCGCCTTTGATGTGCCACTGAAGCGGCATTGTGCGCGGCACCGGGGCCGGGGGCCCAGCGGGAGCACGGCACGGCCGAGCTGCGGGCACGAAGCCGCCCCTGCCCCTAATAGGCACGTGGGTGGTGGCACTGGCAACCCCAGTCCCGAGATGGGAATGGGGGCACGGCACATCCTTATGCACTTAGTAGAGACAGAGGGCAGAGTGGATCCTCCTAAGGAGGAGAGAGACGGGGCGATAGGGACCGTATCCCCCAGTGTCTTTGGGGACACGGGCACACCGTACATCTAACAGGGACAGAGGTGGGGGAACGGGCACACCCAGCACCCCGAAGAGGAGGTGGGGAGGCGGGTGTACCCTGCCCCACCGAAAGAGCTGATGCCATGCCCATGGGCACAGGAGGGTGGCAAGGTGGGGCGTGGGCACCCCAAAAATCTGGGGACAACCACAAGCCGAGCTGTAGGCACGGGTGGGCCTCTCCTGCCCGCTCTGGGCCTGCCACTGCTGGAAAGCGAGATAGGCTGCTGGTGCCCCGGTCCCCACCTGCCTGGCATCCCCCCGGGGCACGTCCCCCCTCCTGCACCTCAGGAGAGAAATGGCCTCAGTGTGAACACGGGGTGGGTGCTGGGGCTTCCAGGGGCAGCTGGTGCTCAGCACTGGGGTGCAGTGCTCCTTCACAGAGCGGCCCGTTCAGCCCGGGCCGGGCTGGTGCAGTGGGAACCCCTGCCCTAGGATCCCCTGCCTCAGACTTCCCCCGCACCCCAATGTCCGCCAGGCCGCTCCCGGCCCGCTGCCGCTTTTGAAGCCCCCGCGGGTCTCCCACGCCCAGCCCGGCCCCGCGTGCCCGCAGCCGCCCGTGCGTTCCCACCCGCCCGCTGTCGCCCCCCCGACGAGGCCCGCAGGAGGGACGGTAGCGCGGCCGCGGCTTGGCGTGAAAATGATCAAGGGCCGCGAGCAGCGCCGGAGCGCAGAGCCCGTCTGATGCTGCCCGCCCGGAGGCCCCGTCGAACAAAGGCGGCATTGAGGCCCCGGCTGCCCCCCCCCCGCGCCCCCCTCCCCGAGCTGGCATCTTGGCGCGACATTAATGAACTCGCCTGTTTGTGCTCCCCCGGCCCCTCTCTCCTCCCACCGCCCGGGGGGCACCATATATATCCATCCGTCCTCACCCGCCTCGGGCATTTTGGTGGCTCCCCCTTCTGCCCCCCTTTGCCTGCACGGGGATGGAGCAAGGAGGCAAGAAGATGCGGGGTGCAATTCTCGGGGTCCGCCTGGTCCTCCCCGTGCTGCTGTCGATGCTGTCACTGCTGCAGCTAGTGGGGGGAGCCCCCCTGGCCCAGGGGCTGTACCCCATGCCAGCCGGTGTCCTGCAAGGTCAGTGAGGCACGGGGATGGGGGCATCTTTGCGGGAGGGTTTGACTGTGTGTAGGGTGGCTGTAGGAGATGGGACTCCTGGGTTCATTCTCTGTAATAAGGATGGGGAAACATGCAAGTAGGATGCCTGGGTCCCTGCCAAAGACCCCAGGTCCTGGAGCATGCTGTACTGCCTGATCAGGGTGGCAAGTGCTGCCTGTGGCACTAGGAGATACAAGGGTTGCAAGGAGCTGGTTTGTGCCCCATGGCTGCCAGCTCTCCCTCCAGCCCTGGGGGACCCTCTGCCAGGCACAGCCAGCAGAAGGGCAGCTGCGGGTGGGTATAGGTGGGCATAGGTATAAGCACATGTGGGGATGCACATACAGGGCATGCACAGCACTGCACAGAAACAGGCACATGCAGGGACATGCAGACAGGGGCACATGGACCCTGGCACACAAAGATATGTGCATGAGTACATGCACACCAACATGCATGGACACACCTGTTTGGGCTCAGCCCTGCAGCATGCCCATGTTTACACACATACATGCTCACAAGGTCTCCACTTACAAAGGGCACTCACAGATCTAGGCAAACACCCTCCCTATGCCATGTGTCAGCCGCAGCAGAGAGGTGACTCTCATGCCTGTCACCCTAGGTGATGCCAACCAATGATACCAGCCTGACACCCATCACAGACATACTGGGGAGCAGGTGCCAGCTGGGGTGAGAGCACCCCGTGGCTGCAGTGGGAGAAAGTGGGGGAGTGCCAGGGGTATGAGCACCCTTTGTGTGCCCGGCAGCACTGTCAAGCCGAGGGACGCTGGTGCTGGAGGCGGCGCTGAGGAGTGCACTGCTGGCATTGGAACGGGCAATGGCCGAGCAGCAGCGGCAGCGGGGTGCCTGCGGGCTCTGTCCCCCCTGCCTCTTCCCCCCCTGTGCCAACCTCACCCGCCGCTGTTCACGTGAGTTATGTCCCCATGGCCCCCACTGCCCCGTTCTAGGAGACCCTACCCAAACACAGACCCATGCCTGGAGACCCTACTCAAATCTTTCTTTGGGTCCCTACCAAAGTACCGCTGTATCCCCTAGAAACCCTGCCAAAATGACACCTCAAGACCCTACCCAAACACCACCACCTCCACTGTAGGCTTTATCTTATAAGCTTTACCAAAACACTGCCCGGACTCCCAAAACATATCCCTAAGTGCAGTTCTTCGTCTTCTCTAGATCCTACCCAAACATTACCTGGAGCCCTACCCAAAACATTGCCTGATTTCCTGTCTCCTTCCTAGAGATGCCCCAAAAACCATATCCCAGCACCCAGGAGACCCTAACAAAACATGCCAACACCACAGCCCCACCATGCCCCCTTCCCACCAGCCTCAAAGTGGAGCCCAGGTTTGTCTGGGCAGAGGTGGGCAGGGAGGACATCGGGATGCCCACAGCCCTCCTGTTCTTGCAGTGCCAGCTGTGCCCCTCACCGTGCCCCCCAGCTGCCAGGCCCTGCTGGATGCCCAGGCACTCCCCAAGCTGCCTGAGCGCAACTGGGCATTGAGCCAGGCCTGTGCCCCCTACCAGCGCCTGTGCCCACCCGAAGGGGCCCCACATGCCTGTGCCCAGCTCAGCACCCGTCTCTGCCACTACCGCCTCCAGGAGTGCCGTGAGTGGGCACCCGCATCACCCCGGATCCTCTCAGAGAGGGGAAACCTTACAATAACAAAGGGGGCATCCTCAAGGGGTGTCTGGGGTTGCCTGGAGGGGATATGGGGGTACTGGGAGTGACAGTTGGTGCTAGGGTGGGGAGACTGGGGAGATGGGTATGGTAGGGGAATGGAGGGGATGAAGGGATCTGGGGTGAGAGGTGGAGATTTGGGGATCAGAGGTATTGTGAACCATGAGTGAATTAGGGGAACGGGGTGTTGAAGGATGATGGAGAATGTAGGGTGGGAGAGGAGAGTGTGAGAGAAGGGGTATGGGGCAGTGGCAGAAAGATTTGGGACACTGAGTCACCTGGGGAGACAGGCATTGCTGGGGTGGTACTGGAGTGCTTGTTCGGGATGATGGGGGCCTTGGGGTCACTGAAAGGAACTGGGAGGAATTGGGGACAGCAGGAACATGGTGGTGACATTGGGGGGTTGTCCCCCCATGCCATGACACTTTGTCCCTGCAGGGATGGCAGCCTCAGGCCCTGACACACAAGAAGAGGTGGCAATGCCAGGTGAGCCCCCCCCCCGCTGACGGGCGGCCGGGCCCCATGGCTGCCTGCTGGGCCGGGGGGCAGAGGTTAGCGTCGGCAGCTGCCGGGCCGCAGGGTGCCCCCAGCCCACCGCCCGCTCGCCTCCATGAGCACAATGAGGCTTGACAGCGTGCCCTGCGCAGCCTGACTCCCCCGGGGCCACACACCACCCCCTCACTCACCACAGCCATCCCAGCCACCCTGCGCCCACTGGGGAGACAGGGGTGTCCTGACAGTGCGGCTGCAGGATCCCCCTTCTCATCCCCGCTTTGTCCTCCAGGGAGCTGCGGGCACCGTGGGGTCCCCCAGGCCAACACGACGGCCCCCCGAGGACGGATCATGGGTGGCAGCGTGGCCCTCCTGGGGTCCTGGCCCTGGCTGGTGTCGGTGCGGCTCCATGGGG